GCTCTCCTGGCTGCGCGGGGCGGCCTGCTCCGGGGGCAGCGCGCCCGTAAGGGTCTTCGGCCACTCTTCCAGCTCCGTCCTGCTTTTTTGCGTTTCTTTTCCTGGGCACTTAACTGTGTGATTCTCAGTTTTCAGTGTTCTGAGGTACTGCTGCCTTGTGCTGTGTGTACACGGAAGGGTTTGCACAGCTCTGTTTGAACTGGCAGCCAGCTCAACAGCCAAGATAGCGAACAGCTCTGTCGTTAAAAATTCAGTCTCTGAAGTAATGGGGCGTTTAAAGAAGGCCTGAACATGAGAACCGCGGCACGCTCCGCTCTTACAAAAGCACCGAGACTTTAATTGTGGTGTACCGCATATCCGTGGGGCCGGGCACGTGCCTCTGGATAAACGCGTTGTGTATGGGAAGGAATGAGGGCTGTGCTCCAGAACCACGCACTGCAGAGGGAATGCTGCCCTTCCAAATTGCTCCCTACTGAGGGAACCTGGTGTGGCCTGTTGCCGCCAGCACCTACGCGGGGTCCGTACCAATAGATTTTTAAAAACATAGTTTATAAAGGTTCTCTCTGAAAGGGTTTCCCTTGAGGCCAGAGTCCAATTCATTTTTCTTCATTGAAAGTGCCAGCATATAAATTAGTTGGACACGACCAGCTCTCCTGTTCTCCGGAGGTACTATTCGAGGGAGTCATAGGTAAAAATATTGCTGTGCAAGTTTCTTATTCATCAATGACATTTAGTAAATAGCCTGTTGCAGCATCTAATTTTCATGTTTGCCCAATTCACAGAAAATCTGAATGCATTGCAGTATCAAAGCCTTGAATCTGTGGCAAAGTTGTGCTTAGATTCAGCTGCAAATTACAGACATCCAACGAGAGTATCCTGGGGAAGGAACATTAAATTCTTGCTGCTGGTGGCTGCTATCAGGATGTGTGACTAGATAAAACTTTGGTCTGATCTGGTATGGCCACTGTTGTGTCACTTTTTTTTTTTTTTTCAGAAAATTCTAATATCATACATTTTTAAGATTGTTAGAAAGATGCATACTTTGCTGGTAACAAAGGTGTCATGTATGTGGCTCGATTCTGATACACCGTTTCTGCTCTTCTTTTGCCTTTGCCTTTTCCACAGATTTCTACAGATGACTCTGTGCTGGGGAGACTTTGGTTTCTCCAGTTGTATCCAAACTAGCTTTCATCCTCAGGGTCCATCGTAAAGATTCTTCTTTGTTATTGCTAAATTACTGTGTGATCAATGAAGTCATTAGACACTGCTCAAGTTGCTCTTTGTTAACTGACCAAAAGTTGCATTGAGGGGATATTTTTTAATTACTAGCCAAATGCTTGCATTGCCTTAAGGTGTTACTGGAATTTTGGGTGGCTTGCGATTTCAACTAGCTCATAGCATTGGGAAGAGGGCTCAGCTGTACCACCTTCCCACACAGAAGTTTTTCTATGTGTGTGTGACAAAGCTGACTTACTAATTTGTTTATCTTTCTTTAACAGCTGAAAGCTGACGTGGTTCCCAAGACAGCAGGTAAGGCAGCACCTCCAGAATTTCATACTTAAATATTTGAGATTTAGATTGTGATTTGCAGGAGCAAGAATAATCTTCTACCTTTTGGAAACGATTTCCATGTTCCATCCCCCTTTGTTAACTAAAGAAATACGGCACGAACTTTTTCAGAATGGTGCTAGTGAGGAGTTATAATTTGTTGTTGTTCCAGATAGTGTCATTTTGTAATTTGCACCAGGATGGTACAGTCCACATGTTGAATTGTCAGTGGTGAATAAATATGTGTTAAAACACATTAGTTTGCATTGAAATCAAATAAAATCAAATAGAAAAGGGTAAACCAAAGGGATAGTGTCTTTTAAAGATTTCAAAGCATGTATATGGTTTTGCATTCCTGGTCACTAGCTGATCAGTGCACTCGTAACTTTTTTGTGTATTATCACATGCTTCCTTCCTCATCTGCTTATTTAGTGGGTCTGAAAAACTTGTACTTTTCTTTCAGTTCCTGGTAGATTAATATCCTTAAAGAAAAACTCCAACAGCACAGCACACCAAACAAACCAACCAGCCAACCAAAAATCCCATCATCCTCACAATTACTGTAGAGAACAAAGGCATAAAAGTCATAAAATGAAACTTTTGACTTCAGAGTGGTGGGTTTGGGGGTGGGGGGTGTGTGTGGAGTTATGATATAACAGCAAAATAAAAGGGAGATAAGATGGAAAAGGGTAGTGTTTGTACCCTGGGGCCAAACAAGTTTTGCTTCCTTAGGTTTATAACAGAGGTATTTTAAAGGATGGAAACAACTAATAATAATACCTTAAAAATACTGTAAAACTTCTGCAGTGTATAAACTTGGGACATAGTGAATCTGGGTGTGATTGATTATATTATGTGTCATATATGGCAACATAATACTTTATGCTTTGTTTTCACAGAAAACTTTAGAGCTCTTTGTACTGGTGAAAAAGGTTTCGGGTACAAAGGATCCACGTTTCACAGGGTGATTCCTTCATTTATGTGCCAGGTAATGCTTTTTGCTACCTTTGCTATTAAATTTATTTGCATGTTAGTTACATATTTTTAGAACCAGTTAGATGAGTAGTAATGTTCTAAGTGGCTCTGCTCTAACCTTTGCTAAGTACAGAATGAAGAAGTGACAGTGTGCCTTACATCTCTGATGTTTATTTTTATTTTTTTGCTATGGCTGCTGCTTAGCACATCTTTTGTACAAATAAATAGAAGCTACATGTGGACTCTCTTAAAAAATCTGTCTTAAGTCTTCCTGCTTTTGTATAGCAGTGTGCTTTAGTGTGGGGTGTGTTTAGCAAAATGGCACTTGCTTGGGGGAAACATTTGTGGGTAGAATGACAATCAACCCTGTGTTCTGTGTGAGCTAAGAAAACAGCATGTCCTTTCTTTATTCCTAGTAGAATAATCTGTCCACAACAGAGCATTTGTTTGATAAAAAAATACATCTTTTTTTTTTTTTTTTTTCCCCTGAACATCTCCCTCATGTGGAGGGGAGGAGGGAACCAAGAGTTGGTTGGGGGGTCGGTTTTTGGGATGACACACTTGAAATGGATTTTGTTTTGATTTGAACGATGAATCTTCCAAAATTCTGAATTAAAGTCAATGCACATCAGCAATTTTTTCTGAAACAACGACACCCGCCCCCAAAAAAACCCAAACCAACATAACCAACCAACCAAAACTAACAGAAGAGTCTGTTTGAAAGCCTTTTTTTTTTTTTCTACTGTGCTTGGCAGATGAGCAGGGTTTCAGCTGCTGTAGTGCACTGGATTGTCCGATTCCTGGTAGTCTTCTCTTCCCTTAAAAGAAGCCACATTTCAACAACATTGCGTCATAGAATGGCTCTGTAAAAAAAAAAAAAAAAGTGAGATGAAGGTGATAGGAAGTGTGCTTTATTTAGTAACTGATGGCTGTGATGATCCCCCCTCCTCAATTGTTTTATTTTAAGTGAAAAACAGCTGTCAGAACAAGAGGCCATAATCTTACGACCTATTTCTAAGAAGGGAAAGGGGACAAGTGTCCTGTAAAGTATATTTTTTCTTGTCTTTGAAATGGAAACTAAGATTTTGTGATCCTGACAAAGGGGCAAAGTTTAGAAGTCTTGCTGGGGTCAAAATATATATAAATATAAGAAAAATACAAATCTTACTTTAGTGCCGCTACTAATTTGTGAAGTTTTGTGTAAATCTGTTTTTACCTCCCTTTTTTGTCAGCACGAAAAGACACAAAATGAGAGTTCTCGATGGCTGACTCTATGGTGTGGTGATATGATGAATTGATATTTAGGAATTACTTGGAAGTCATTACTGAAGTGGAAATACAGTTACGGGTTTCAAATGTTTTGAAGTGAGAGGGAACAGTAGAGGCATTTCCACATGTTGAGATGAAGTGTTAAGATGATTCAGACGATTGGTATAGCCTAATTGAGGGTCATCATACCTAGGACTTGACAATTCACATGCCTCCACATGGCATGCAGCATGCAGAGCCTACCTCTCAGACTGTGTAGGAGTAGCTGTAGCACCATAGATTACTCAAGGTGAGAATGGGAGGATGAGCATGACATGAAGTATTTGTTAGGTTTGAGTTCTTTGTTGGCATGTGTGATGTCTCTTCTGGGAGAGGAAATTGCAGATTGCTGGGAGCAGTGTTTAGTAGCCACGCTTGTGAGTTGCTGGGTTTTTTTTGTTTGGGTTTTGTGTGTCTAACCCAAGATAGGTGGTCTCACCTATCCCAGCAAGCTGCGTGTAGCTGAGGGAAGTTTAAAATAGCTGAGGTGTAACACTTAAATGAGAAAACCTAAAAGTAGCAAATAATGATAATGGAAATCCTGACCAGTGTTTATACCTGTTGGAAGAGAGAGAGGGACAGAGAAACAGAGAAAAGTTTTGAGGTCTTGCCTATGGTAATCAATTTGGATGATTTGATTTTGAGGCCTTTGAGGTGTTTCTTAAGGTGTTTCTTAAAATTACTACCATTTATTGCATGTTACATGGGTTTAAATCCTCATACCATACTCATTCGTAACCTGAAGACAATTTGCTGATTTTATTTCTTTAAATTGGAGCAAGTGAGTATACTTTCAATAGCATCACTTCTGATGTGAAGTAATGCTTGCGTGCTAGTGAAGTTAATACCATTTCTGTTTCAGGGTGGTGACTTTACAAATCATAATGGAACTGGCGGAAAATCCATTTATGGCAGTAGATTTCCAGATGAAAATTTCATACTTAAGCACATAGGACCTGGTAAATGAACATATTCTTTCTACCTTCTGCTGACTATCACCTATAATGAAGCATTTTTTATGAAGATGTATTTTTAAAAAATAAGATGGGAGGGACACTTGGTGGTTAGAGAAATAGTAAATAGTTTAACAATGCATGAGCTTATTCCTGTAGTCTTAGACTGACAAAGTAGGACTGACACTGTAGGTCAGTCTGTGACAGGTAACATTGCCACTCTTGCTTTTGCTGTAAAAGGGACTGCAAAGTAAGGTATTTTTATGTTTTTTGTATTTTACTTACAAATTCTGTAAAGGTGTAATTACTGCTTTCATTGTGCTTTTTCATAAGTCAGAGGCTTCACTTCTCCAGTAATCATCTAAGTAAAAATTGAAACAAAGTGATCTGGGATTTCTTATTTACTAGCTAACAGAAGCTCAAATCCAGAAAAAGTAAAGGAAAAGCCATACATAAGAACATCTGATTGAATTCTATAGTCTCTCTTTTTGGATTATTACTTCCTCATCGTAGGAAACTACTGCTGCTGTTGAGCCATAGTAGAGGTTAGCTGATGTTAATCACATTCAGGATGTGTACAACTAGTTACATTACTGACATCCTTGCTGTGGAAAGAAGGGAAGCTGGGCTGGAGGAAATAGTCAGACAAGAAGTTTGCATTAGAAATCATTCGGAGTCAATGTGGACCATTACATCTTCTCTCTGTCCATTTTAGTCCAAATGTGCAAAGGAAAGTTGTCTTCTCCACTGCATACTTGTTACACCAATCTAATAAGCTGCTGCTGCTGTTGTTCTAGGTGTTCTTTCAATGGCCAATGCAGGACCCAATACAAATGGATCTCAGTTCTTCATCTGCACTGCAAAAACTGACTGGTAGGTTCCCAGACCTGCATGTTAACCTGATGAATTGATGGCTGGATCTGGAGCATTTGTAGTTTTCTTAAGGGTATTTTTGTTTGTGGGTTGATGTTTTTTTGTTGGTTGGTTGGTTTGGTGGGGTTTGGTTGGAGGGGGGTTTTTTTGTGTGTGTTTGGGATTTGTTTGCTTGGTTGTTTTTTAATTTCTGAATTATTTATCCTACAATGGAAAATAAATTGTTTTGTGCTACTTGAGGGAAGAGAGTCTGTGGGGGTAACAAGACAGCTGTCCCTTAGAATGCTTCTAAGGTCCAGAGCTTAAAAGTAGAGCAGTTGTGCCTTTGCCATAGACTTGGTCAGCAGATGAGAGCTATGAAGACCTGCTGGCATTCCTTCACCAAGCTCGGTTTGGTTCTGTCTTTATGATATTTTAAGTAAAACTGCCTTTGTGTGTTTGTTTTACAGGCTAGATGGAAAGCATGTTGTTTTTGGGTATGTAAAGGAAGGAATGGATGTCGTGAAAAAAATTGAGAGCTTTGGTTCCAAGAGTGGTAAAACCTCCAAAAAGATTGTCATTACTGACTGTGGCCAGCTGTCCTAGCCTTTTGCCTCTCCATTCATGACAACTTCGATGCTGTGAAAAATCAATCATAAAAACATTTCCGATCCCATGAATAGCACCTGTGGAACCACATTTTCCATGTAACTTGGTCCAACTTTTATATTTATATTGAGTAATACTGATTAAAAGTAAAAACAGTAACTGAAGCATGTTTTAACTGAGCTGACATCGTAGTCACTCTGCCACACTGATTTGATAGAGTCCCATTGTGTTTCGAGAGAAGTAACGTGGTCACCCAGAGCACATCTGACTGCACTGTTGATACTGTTCTGAGTATTTGAATGTTTCAGGTGTTAGAATTAGTGGTGGAGTTGGCAACTAAGTGTTTCTGTAGTCAGGGCTTAGATACAAATAGAGAAATGCCACATTGGTGCTAATAAAAACCTATTGTTCATCTCATCATTTTGGAAAAATACTATCTAGCGCTCTCAGGGCTGTCAGGTGTTTTCTTTCTGTGTCTCAATTGAAGCCTATCCAATACAGTTAATGTGTGGTTGTGAGTTTTTAAAAATTTAATTCTGTTTTAATAATCTTCTTTTCTGTAGTCTCAGACCACTGTTTAAACCTGAACACTACCTTACCTGCTTCAGTGCAGCAATGTGACTTTTGGGTTAAGTAAGTTGCATTAGGTTGAGTTAGCCTACTACTAGAGCTCTGCCTCGGCAATAAAGCCACGAATTAGCCAAAAGATCTTGGGACTTTTTTATTATGAAACTGTGAACTTACTTGAAGTGCGGTTCTGCTCCGAGATCTGGGTCTGTAAGGAATACAGCACAGTTCTCAGCAGATAATCTATTTTTGCATTTTGAGAATATAGTCAGAGTATAGTGAGTTTGCTTCAGTGAGAAAGGTTTCATTGCTTTTATTTTTTGGTCCTGTTGGTCCTATAAAGTCAGCCTGCCTTGGGTATCACTTGGATTATGATTTCTTCTCACGCATCATCGTCATCATAAGTCAAAATCGGTCACCACAGAATTGCAAAGCTTCACTGGTGCAGCAAAATCATTATGGAGGTTAATGCATGAGAAGTAAAGAATTCAGCTGATCAGATAAACACATTTCATTTGTATAAACCACTGTGTTTTATGTGGTGTGCTTGAGCAGTAACAAATGTTGGAAGCTCCCATCACTTTTAGAATCACTAAGGCTGTAAAGTATTCATGCTTGTGGGGAAAAAAGTTGGTTCTGCTTAGTAATCTTGATGCTGAAGAGAAAAATAAAATGTGATTGCTCTCTTCAAATGTGAATTTACTTCCACTGCATTCTGATAGTATGTGGGTTTGAAACTATTTTGCACTGGATTGTTTTCTACTGAGAGTTGCATTCTTACGTGTACAAGGTAGTATTCAGAGCGTAATTTTGCAGGAGAGGGAATTGAAAAGCTTTTTATTCTTTCCACTATAGATGCTTCACCTTGTTTTGTAGCATTTAAAAAATATTAATTTGGGCTGGTTTGACTTATTTCAGTTTGATACAATAATGAGGAGGTTTGTGTTCTCTTAATTTGTAAATGAAAACTAATTAAATACAGTTCTGCCACAAAAAAGTCTACTGTTTTCTTGAAAGCAGGAGTGTGAGGAGCTGAAACCTGTTGTGTTTACTTGGGCTGCTCTATTCTGTCTGTTAATGGATCTGATGCAGTAGTAGCAGAAGCCATGCTGTCAATTGGAGAGAAAAACAGCAAGAAACATGGTACTGGTGCCACGCTTTGCCTCTTGTTAGTCAGTCTAAAGTAGCTGATGTATGGATAGCGATTCAGGTTTTGAAAGTTCACTGGTTTATTTCATCAGTTTACAGAGATAATGAGGAAAATGTGTATTTACTGGGTGGGGGTTTTAATTTCTGAATTCCTTCTTGAAAAGTTGGTAGTTCCAGCTTTTTGCTGGACAATTGATGAAAAGTTCCTTCCTTGCTGGGTGATCAGAGATGACATTAAGAATTTATCATCTTCTGGGTATCAGTGGTATTTGTAGACGAGGAAGCCCAGTGGAAGACACTTTGCCACAAACCAGTCCAATTCCTCAGAACTGTGTGTTAAGCCTTAAATAAATAATAGTATTGTGCATGTTAAAATGATGGCTTGCAGTCTTGACTAGAAGATATTAATATAAAATATTAAGGCAGAATAACTGATGAGCAACACTGGTTGCACTGTCTCGCTGGGGCTGGCTTTGGTTTCCAGATACCACTCTACACTATTCTCTGCCAGAAGAAATCCTTTGCTGCCCAGTACTTACAGCAGTGTAACATGAGTCTTCATGTTTTGACAAACTAAGCAGGTCAGTCTCTTCAAGTTTTCTTCTGTAAAGTATCCTCCTCAAAATGGATTTTTCTGTTGTTCTTCCTGATTTTTCTTTCTTTTTTTCACCCCCCTTTCTCTTTATTTACAAAGAAAATGCAGAGAGCTCTATTTCAGTATGTCTTGCACCCTGCAGCATTGCAAGAGTGTTCCTATACTGAAAATACGACTGCAGCTTGTACTTGGCAGAACCATGGTAATTTTAAGAGCTGGTTGTGGCACCACAGGGCACCAGAGCAAGGGTTGCAGGACCTTGGCATGCTGGATGGTGGGTCCCAGACCTCTGTGGTCCTGTGGCCATCACTCTTGGGTAGCTTGTCCACTTCTGTACATAGTCCAAAGTCGGGATTGCCATTTGTGGTAAGTACACAGAAATCAGCCTTTGCTAGTCATTCTAGTAATTTTCTACAGGATCCTGGGTGCCCCTCCCTCTACGGTTGGTTGTCTTGTATTGCAAACAGCTTCTAGGAGAAGAGGGTTTTCCTTTTATAGCCTTGCTTGATGTTTTTGTCAGCTTCAAGGTGATGGGCTGGTACAAGAAGAGTTGTGCAGTACCACTGCTCGTTCATGACTTCCTTATTCTGGGTTTTTGTACCTCTTCATGGCAAAATGACTATAGTAAACTCAGCCTCAGAGCTCTGTCATGTACAGAAAAAGACTGTGACCTCTAAAGTTAACCTGCTGCAACTGTGAGATAGATAAACTGTCGCAGATTATTGTTGAAATACATGTAGATGTTAAATCCCAGTAGGCTAGATGGATATGTTTTCCTTGTCCTTCTGCTGGTAAAAAGCATTTATCTTAAAGTGGTTCAGAACATGGTTCACTTTAAAGCAGCTGAGTGATCCAGAGTAACTAATGTTATTCATGGATGTGTTAAAGATGTGAAAATTGCTGCCATACAAGTTGAAGTAGTGTGATTCGCACCTTGATTTGTTGCTTTGGTGCTGCCTCTGACACAGAAGCTCTGGGGCAGAGCTACAAGGCTGGTGCTTGGCCAAGGTGTCTTGAAGTGCTGGGGAGTCCTTGCTCTTGGTGTAGCAGAGGATTAGGTCAAGTTTTTGCTTTTCTATTGTAAGAAATATATCTCACCACCAAATGATTGTGGTGGAAATTATTTCCCCTGCAGTGTGTTACATTGTGATTGTCCCATTCGGTTTGACCTTTGGCTATTGTCACTCGTCGCTAACTGCGCCGTGGATCGAGTGCTGCCGCAGCAAGTCGAGCAATTTACAGATCCTCCCTAGGCTGTAGCTGTCCCTGGCAGATCCCAGGCATTGGTGATCCGCTCCCTTCGCATCCCTTCGGATGAACAGCCATAGAGGCCTGATGCTCCTCAGCCTGAGCTCGGGCTGGTTGAGGAGGCGCGCTGTTGTCCCGCTCCCCACGAGGTGGCACCACACGACTGCACATTGAGGGCTCGGTCAGCGCCTCGTCCGTCCTTAATAACCACCGCGGAGGAGCTGGAGAACACGAAGCACCGCTGAATTCGGGTGAGGAGCAGGTAGAATTACACCCGTGTCGGTAACGAGCTATCCTGTGGTTTCCTTTCAGCTACGTTGAAATGACGTGAGCTGCAGGTAATTACTTCTGAGGTACCAAAAGCTGCAGTTGTGTATCTTGCTGGATTATAAACCCTGCGACCCTTGAGATGCTGCTTCAGCTCCTGCGGGATGAGAAGACAAATCAGTAATGTCTTTCATAACTGCACATTGCCATGATCTGTGCCTTACCAAGGTGCAACAGATGTTTAAATGCAGCATATGGAGTTCTGGGGGGGACTACCAACTAGAAACCCTGCACAGCTTTAATAGGTATTCACTGTGGAGCTGTGGTTCTGAGATGAGCTGAGGGGTGGCAGGTGTGCTACTGCAGGTTCTCAACCGGCTGATTAGGGTAAGAGTTTGCACTCTGGAAGAGAGGCTGGCACATCCAGGCTACCTCCAAGGTGAGGCGTGGGCATGCCAGGAAAAGAGCCTGCAGAGTGAGCTCTGCAGTCACTAACACTGATGTGCTTCCAAATGCAACACTGGAGAAATAACATGCTCAGAGGGCACCCTTAGGTAAAGTGCAGATAAATATACACAGAAAAAATGAGTTTATACTTAAAATTTGTTTCAACAAACTCACAAATGTTTTTGTTTAGTCTCATGTTGTAATTATTTGTTCCAGACTTTCTGCTTACATAAATTGCTTTCTTTGGTGTTAGACTGAGAGCTGTCTCTTTGTTTATAAAGTTTAAATGCTTTGAAGTTGAGACATTTGAGGTATAAAGTGTTGTTCTTTTTTGTAATGCATATACTCTGCTGGTAGCAATATATCAACAATCAGAACCTCAAAGAAGTGAATTACTTAGAGTACAAATCATTTTACATGACATTTCAAAGGCAATCTGGATGTCCTGCTGCTAGCTGAGAATTTGTAGTTGGACAGACACTTTCTACCCAATTTAAAAGTAACCAGGCTAAAAGGACAGTGACTTTCAAGTGAAAAAATTTTGAATCTCAAACAGCAGATTTTTGTATAGAGTCTGATTCTGTTTAAGGACAATGCCTGAACCAGCTGATCGCAGGTGAATTTTGGCCCAAAATATTCATGGCCCAAAACTTCTTGTACCATCAAACTGCAAACCAAACCTTTGCAACAATTGTCATAGAATTATAGGATTGTTTAGGTTGGGAAACACGTTTAAGATCATACAGTCCAACTGTTAACGTAGCACTGCCATCCACCACTAAACTATGTCCCTAAGTGCCATGTCTGCATGTCTTTTAAATACCTCTGGGCATGGTGACTCTACCACTTCCCTGGGCAGCCACTTCCAATGCTTAACAA